TTTTTGCTTTACATCTCAATGAGCAGTGAAGTTATAAAATAAAAATGTTAACAAGATTAAAAGTGAGATGTGAAGTATTTTGCGCACTCAATCTGTGAGTGATTTGGTAGAGAAGCAAAATGAAAAAGAAGAAGTAATGAGAAGTCGATGAAGAAGAAAATATTTAAAATATTTCGTCGGTTCCTTTTCGACGCATCATTAAATTTAGTTTTTTTTTTCGAAAGAGAAGAAAAACGAGCAAACAAAGCAGAAAGGTGATAGAAACCTAAATAAATAAACGAAATTTTTGAGAAAGGAGAAGCAAAAAAAAACAGCATTGAGTAACGATTGTGTGAAATCATGGATGCTTGTACAAAAGAGCAATCAATTTCCTCTCGTTTACTTGTGAAAAGGTTAAAACAACGGTGCCTTTGCTTGATGAAGCTTTTATGTGAACCTTTTGCTCAGATACCTTCCATTTTTTTTTGGAGTATCTCTCTGTCATTCTTTTAAGCACATATAAAAAATTAAAGTTTGATTGGTTTTTGTACTTTAATGATTAAACTGATAAACGAACAGCCATTTTAGATTTGAATAATCTGAATGAGTTGATTTACACGTTCATACATAGTTTACTTTCCCATTCATTTAAATTTTAGAATTGTTTGGAGCATTGAGGAGTAAACATCATTATTATTGGGCCGTTCACTTATGACGTCCAAGGGGGATGGGGGTCAGACAGAAAAGAACAATAGAAGTTCCTGGAAATCCATTGTTCGTTTTTGAAAAATGACCGATAATTTCGGAAGTCATAATTGAACGGCCCCATAGCAGTAAGTCATTATAAATTATTTAAACTGAATAATACATTTTGATTATCAGCATCAACAATTTCATAGACAACAGGTACAAAAATTCTCTAAAAATAATGCGAAATCCACATTTAATTGATATTGATTTTTCTAACACGCAAATATTCAAATTTTCCCGAAAATCCGGTCATAAATTCAGTGATAATTTCTTAAACCCTATAAAATTTTGAAAATCTGCTAATTCATAAATTTTTCATATTTTTCGTGGCTCGAAAATTCCCAAATAATAAGCATCGTCGTTCACCAAATCATACATTAATTCTAAAAGGTATAATAATATTGATATGGAATTATGTTTTTTTCATGCCAGAATATTCGACAGTTAAATATGGTGGAAGTGTCGAAAGGGTATTTTTTCTTGCTTCTCGAAACATCGTATTTTGAATGTAATCCGTGAAAAAAAAGTCATGTAATCAGGCAACTTTCATGTAATTATTTTAAAAAATCTCTCCCATGCGAGAGGTTCCTCACATTCAAATTTCGTTCATTCGCATCCGAAAAAGAAAAAAAAAATCCTATTCAAGCCTCTGTTAGACAGATACAATGGCTGAATTCACAGAAATGTATACATCAATGAATGTAGGAAAGAATGTGAATGAGGTGCGAACGCACGAGCAGATAAGTATATTGTATATGTGCTTTCTGCGTATATGATAATGGAAAACATTTGTGGAAATGATAGTAATATGAAAGGATAGAAAATCATTTGAGACTCACCAATTTTCTCTTCGGATTATTTCACATGCCAAAGAAGAAGAAGAAGAAGACAAAAAAGAAGTAAAAAAGTCGATGTGACAAAAATGTGAATTTCCAAACTGTTGCTTCAATTTTTCATTTTCTTCTTGTCTTTCCGTATTCAATATCACTTCAGCAAATAGACATTCATAAAATTTAATATCCACAAATTAAACGATTATCTCCTTTATTTTTATTTTTATAGCACATAATAATTAAGTATAGACGATATAACAGATCTTTAGATTAAATTGCACTTTCAGTAATCAATTTTCAATTCCAATTTCACAAATTATATGTTTCTCTATTGAACAGATTCTTTCTATATTATTATTTTTTTTTCAATTATTTTAACACTGGCACACTTTGATTTCACCTACAGATAAAGTTTTATTTTATTTTTCTATCCTCTTTTTTCCATTGCCTTTTTGCGCTGTAGCTAATTTATTTTGCACTTTAAACACACTCGAAGAAAGGAAAGAAAAATAAAATTGATTCGTAATGTTTAAATAAAGAGAAAAAAAAGATTTGAGATTTGAAAATGGTGAAAATCATTCGAAGCATCCCACACACAAAATTTGTTCTTCTTCTCTTTCTTTCTGCTCGTAGAGGATTAAACATGAAATGTAAAAATGAAGTGAGTAAGAAATAACTTCAGTTCCTCTGTTTTCTGGCAGAGAAAAAAAGAATTCATCGAGGAAAGAAAGAAATTTTCCACATTTCATTTCTTTTTTTTATAAGGAAAGTTCGAAGAAATGTTGGTATTTAAATATTTAAATGTAAGATATGCCTAAATCTGCATGCAAATGGTGGATGATTTTAAACTGGATCTTTAAATTTTTAATAGCTTTAAGATTAGTTGTTTATGTTGAGAAATTGTGCCTAGGTTTTTTGAGAATTGAGAATAACAGTGACTAAGGATGTGGAAATGATGAAAACCTTCAGCATCCTTAACTTCGACTTAGCATTTAGGTTTATTCACTAAAACTTTGAAATTAAGTGCGAGTTCAAAGGTTTATTCCATAAATTTTGGTTTCAGTTAACAAATCAGCAAAGATTTGGATCTGAGCTTGATACTCCTTGTATTTTAAGCACAGTTCAAACTCTTTGTTGATTGAAAGTGTAACTAGAAATCGAAGGAAATTTTTCTTGACTTCAAAGCAATTTCTAAGAATGAAGCTCTTGAGAATTTGAAATTAAAAGCACCATGGATGCATTTCAGAAACAAAGGACATAACCTTTCTGATAAAAATAGATCAATTCGTTCTTAATCATCAATCAAAATCTAAATATAACCGAAATTGCTATGCCACTTTTGGATAAAGATATCATTATTCATGAAAGCAGCAAGACAAAAGAGTCAACTTTACATAAAAGCAAGTAAGAATTGAAATGAAAAATTCATGCATTTTACATATTTTCCAGAAAGTGCTTCGACTTCCTTAGAAGATGCAAAATGGAATCAAATTGAAAGAAGAGACATAAAATCAAGCCTCTTTTGGATGGCTTTAAGAGGGACAAAAAAAAATAAGGTTTAGAGAAAATTGCTTAATATAGATTGATGGAACGAGTACGAGAGAGAAGGATGGAGTTACATAAAATAATATCACATGAAAAACACATCACTTCACCAAAATTGGATTCATTAATTATTCATTCATCACTGCACAATGAAGTCCTCTCTCCATTCTTTTATATTGTTCATCAATTTCTGTTCCTCTCCACTCCGTTTGCTTTCATTTCATTTTATTTTCTCTCTGCCTTTATAAATTCCATACTGTGAAAGCTCGACACAAAATATGTGTGTGCATATACACAAACCTACATACATAAATTCTTCAATTCATGTCATGAGGATATAGAGCACATCGAGAGGAGCTTTGATGCTTTTTGTATTCCCTTTTAATTGCCTACTACAGAATGACTTTTGACACGAAAGATGAGTCGGAATCAAAAGCACTTCTATTGCTGATGCACAAAATTCATTGATAACGCCTCTAATTTTCTAAATCATTACTTTTACACCTCTTTTTCATGACCTTAGATTTTGCCTTGCTTCGCTCGATATTAAGAAACTTTTGTGTATCTTAACAATGAGAGTTGAGTTTAGAATTTGCTAGGAACTAAGAAAAACTGAAGTCAACAAGGACTCAGGGATAGAAAAAAAGTTTAGTGTGGACCTTGACAGATAAGATGGGCAGATAAGATATGTAGATTATTGCTGATTACTTTTAGTAATCTCGTCCTAGGTTTTGCTTGTTACAAGTTACAAGAGTTGGCTAAGGTTTATTGATTAAATCTCCGCCATACTATCCAGGAATCATAAATAAACACCTCAATCACTTTTAGTCACATTCCACTCATCCAACAACTCTGTTAATTACAACTGATTTTCTTCCTTCTTCAAAAAGCAAATCTTCTTCTCTTTAATTATTATTATTACAGTAGGTAGGCACCTTACATCTTTCGGTTCGTTTATTTGAGCAATGGAAAAAATATGCTTTTCTTTTCTTTTCTTTTTGTGTGGAAGAAACTGAAAAACTTGAAAACTAAAAAAGAAAAGTTTGATATATTTTAATCAATTGAGCCTTTTTGTATGCAACGTAAGATACGATCTGAACCGTATGAAATCTCGAAAGAAACTGAGTCGAATGGAAAACTCTGGTGTGTGTAAGTTTTCGTGAGATCATTGGAAAATTCATTGTGCGAGAGAATGTGACGAGAGAGAGGCAAGGAAACAGGAATGGAATTTTCATTTTGCATATGGATATTTAGTGTAATTGAAGTTCAACGGAGGATATTCATTACTTTTTTTGGGGGATATAAATTTTTAAATGTTATGAGAGCTATTACTGGATGTACTTGATCATTATATTTTTATGAAATTACCCAAACAATACTCTCTGTGCTGATAAGAAATCACGCATGCTCTTTAGAGGAAATTCAACAAGCGACTTGGAATTTAATGCTTATTGGAATTGCATGTTCATCATTTATAAGATATTATTTTGTGCTTCTCAGTTCCTTTAATGCCCTTTTTTACCTGGAAAGACAATACTCAACTTGAGGTAAAAGATTAAGGAATAAAATCGTCTTTTCTACAATTCATCTCATCTCTATTGATGTTGCTGCTGCAGCTATTGTCTGTATTATGTGCTAAGAAGATTCGTACACAATATTTGCGTTTTCATCTCGAGATTGTTGATAAATAATTCAAATAATATCGATTCAGCTTGAAGTGAAGGAACAAAAGCATCAGAAATGATACCTCAATTATTAATCCTCACCTACATTATGCAAATGAAAGCTTGTGCGAATTGCATACTTTGGAACTTTTAAGCTGGCATCGAAGGTTGGATTCTTTATCACACTTAATCCTGTAATGCAATAAATAAGGATCCCTTACTGTTTATTGAGAAAATGTTTTTATTAATTATATTAAAACTAAGATTTATTTAATATCGATATTTTGTCGAGTAATCCTTTGGAGAAACAACTAAACCACGACCTTTTCGCGCGCCTCTATAAACAGTTTCAACAATATCTATCATCTCTTGCTTATCCTCCAGTGCCCAATTGATTTTGTTGTTGTTTCCTGTTCCTAAATCTATCATGATGTGCTTATTTCTAAAGAAGAACATGACTGTACACGGGTCGTATAATTCGTACCTGCGAATATTCTTAGTTATACTAAAGATCCAGTGGAATTAATGGATATATATTACATTTTATTGAAATCTGGAACGGCTGTTGTGTCCACAAGATAAATGACTGCAAAGTTTTTCACTTTTTCAGCAATACTGTACAGCACTTCATCCATTTTCATGCATGTAGGATCCCAATCGTGTCCAAATCGTATGACCTTAGTTAAATTATCAAAATTTGCATTTATTTTTTCAAACGATTATAAAAACTTACGACTATTCTGTCTTCTTCACTCAATATAGCTTGATCGACTTGCCATCCGTTGTGTAAATGTGTCAGCATATAAGACATGATGAAAAAGTTTATTTTATTACAGTAGAACCTAGTAAATTTTTAATTTTTGTGGTTTATAGAATTTTTTTTGTTTTGTTTACAATAATTTACGTCACTGACTTTGAATTTGACGATATCCTTGGAAAAATTACAATGAATAACCGTTAAAATTGCAGTTATGCAAATCGAGGACCCAGTAAATACAGAAAAATTCGATCGCATATAAAATAATTGAAATATTAAGGAAAGTAGCTAGTGATTAATATAATTAATACGTGATTCAATCAGACATTAGCCAAAATTATTGGATAAACAAATGGTAAAGTGCTATTTATTCAGCTTTATAATATTTCATGTGACAACTCATCGCAAAAAAAGAAAATTCTGATGCAATTAATTACTCAATTTAATAATATTCTAGGCTGGAGAACGTAAAGGAACTTTAAAACTCGAGTATCTGCAGAAAATTGAACGAGAAATTCAGGAGAAATGGGAACGTGAGAAGGTAAAACATTAAAATGTATTTTTAACCCTACTGGATCTTCATTACTTCCTTAATTCTTCAGACTCACGACTCTGATGCTCCAAAGGAACCAAGGAAAACGCTGGAAGAGAAATTTTTCGTGACATTTCCTTATCCTTATATGAATGGTCGACTTCATCTTGGACATACATTCTCACTGTCAAAAGCCGAATTTGCTGTACGTTATCATCGCCTTAAAGGCAGAAATGTTCTATTTCCACTCGGATTTCATTGCACAGGAATGCCAATTAAAGCTTGTGCTGATAAACTTAAACGTGAATTAGAGACTTTCGGATATCCACCAAATTTCCCAGCTTTTGAAGAAGTTGTTGTTGAAGTGGAACGAGATATTGTGCCAAAAGATAAGAGTAAAGGTAAGAAAAGTAAGGCTGTTGCGAAATCATCTGGTGCTAAATATCAATGGCAAATTATGCAAAGTCTTGGACTTCAAGATGAGGAAATTAAGCAATTTGCAGACACTGATCACTGGCTTGACTATTTTCCACCACTTGCAATTCAAGATTTAAAGAAAATTGGTGCTCATATTGACTTCCGTCGTACATTCATTACAACTGACGTAAATCCATTTTATGACTCATTCGTTCGCTGGCAATTCTGTTTATTAAAAGAGAGGGGAAAAATCATGTTTGGAAAACGCCATACAATTTTCTCGCCCAAAGATGGTCAGCCATGCATGGATCATGATCGTTCAAGTGGTGAAGGTGTTGGGCCACAGGAATATACTTTAATTAAAATGAAAGTTGCAAAAAATAAAGTCCCAGAAAAGCTGAAGAATGTAAAAACTGAGATTTTCATGGTTGCGGCAACTTTAAGGCCAGAAACAATGTATGGACAAACTAATTGCTGGGTACATCCAGACATTAAGTACATTGCATTCGAAACAACAAGAAATGGTGAAGTTTGGATTTGTACGAGACGTGCAGCTAGAAATATGGCATATCAAGGATTTACTGAGAAAACTGGCGATGTTAAAGTTATTGCTGAATTAACTGGACAAGAATTGATAGGACTTGCATTGTCAGCTCCACTCACGCCACATAAAGTTATCTATACTCTTCCAATGTTGACAATTAAAGAGGATAAAGGAACTGGTGTTGTTACTTGCGTACCATCTGATTCGCCTGACGATTATGCTGCATTAACTGATTTACAAAAGAAGCAACCTTTTAGAGAAAAGTATGGAATTACTGATGAAATGGTTCTTCCTTACAGTCCAATCTCAATTATTGAAGTTCCTGGACTTGGAAATCTTAGTGCTGTGACTGTATGTGAACAGCTTAAAATTCAGTCTCAAAATGATCGTGACAAGTTGGCTGAAGCTAAAGAACTTGTTTATTTGAAAGGATTTTATGATGGAATCTTATTAGTCGGTGAATTTGCAGGCAAAAAAGTTCAGGATGTTAAGAAAGACTTAAAGAAGAAGCTTGTCGATCAAAATGAAGCTGACACATATTATGAACCAGAAAAGACAATTATGTCAAGATCTGCAGATGAATGTGTTGTAGCTTTATGCGATCAATGGTATATTAATTATGGCGAGGAAGAATGGCTGAAAAAGACACAAGGATTATTGAAAAACGTCGAAACTTATCATGAGGAATCTAAAAAAGCTTTTGATCATTGCCTTGACTGGCTCCATGAATATGCATGCTCAAGAACTTATGGATTAGGAACTAAATTACCATGGGATCAACAATGGCTAATTGAATCACTTTCAGACTCGACAATTTACATGGCTTACTACACAATTGTTCATCTCCTTCAAAGTGGAAGTTTTAGAGGCGAGAAACCAAGTCCATTAGGAATTAAAGCAGAGATGATGTCACCGGAAGTTTGGAATTACATTTTCTTTTCTGATGCTAAATATCCAGCAAATTGTAAGATTAAGAAGGAAAATTTGGACATTCTTAAGCGTGAATTTAATTATTGGTATCCAATGGATCTTCGTGTTAGCGGAAAGGATCTTATTAATAATCACTTGACATTTATGTTGTATAATCATACAGCAATTTGGAAAGATGAGCCTGGAAAGTGGCCATTAGGTGTTCGTGCTAATGGACATTTGTTGTTGAATTCTGCAAAAATGTCAAAATCTGATGGAAATTTCTTGACACTTCATGAAGCTGTTGACAAATTCTCAGCTGATGGAACTAGATTATGTCTTGCTGATTCTGGTGATAGCGTTGAAGATGCTAATTTTGTAGAAGTAACTGCAGATGCTGGAATTTTAAGACTGTTCACATTCATTGAATGGGTTAAGGAAATGATTTCAAGTAAATTGCTATTCAGAACTGGACCTAAAGATGCTTTCTATGATCGAGTCTTTATTAGTGAAATGAATCATCTTACGAAGCAAACTGATGAGAATTACAATAAAATGTTATTTAAGGAAGCTCTTCGTACTGGCGTTTTTGAGTTCCAGAAGTCGAGGGATACGTATCGCGAACTTTGTGGATCCAACAATATGCACATTGATTTAGTCTTTGATTTTATTGAACGTCAAGCTTTGTTGATGGCACCAATTTGTCCACATATTGCTGAACACATTTGGCAATTACTCGGAAAATCAGGAAGCATTGTTAATGCCAAATTCCCAGTTGCTGGTCCAGTCGATGAAAAGTTGATACAGTAAGTAGTCATGCTTGGATATTAAATTTTATTATTTACATGCTTTTATCAATTTTAAGGTGCTCTGAATATTTAATGGAAGCTGCTCATGCATTCAGACTGTCACAAAAGAAGGCTATGAGTGCTAAAGGAGCTCAAAAACCTACAAATGGTGTTATTTGGGTAGCAAAGACCTTCCCACCTTGGCAAAGCTGTGTGTTGGACACAATGAGAGATCTGTTTGAGGTAATTAACTTTTTAATTCCAAGCATTCGTTAAAAATTTAAAAATAACTCGTTGAATTTTGAATCTCGAAAGTCCGTTAAATTTAATCTCATATCCATTCCAGAAAAACAAATCGGAATTGCCAGACAACAAGACAATTTCAGTTGAATTGGCAAAGAAAGAAATTCTCAAGAAGCACAAGAAAACAATGCCTTTCGTTCAAATGGTTAGAGATCGTGTAACAACTCTTGGAAAAGTAGCAATGGCAGTGACTGTCGATTTTGATGAACAGGAAATTCTTACAACAAATTTAGAATATTTGAAATCTACACTTGATCTTGAGCAGATTGAAATCAAATTTACTGACGATCCAACAGCATCTGAGAACACAAAAGAAGCTGTCCAGCCAGGAACTCCATTTATAACTTACACTGTTAAACCATCTGTTAAAGTCACACTTGAAAATCCTATTCCAAGATCGGGACTTTTTACTCAGTGCATTAATGTCTCAGACGGTGACACAGTCCAAAGTCTTAAAGAGAAGTTGGCAAAAAACCTAGACTTAAAATTGATTGCTGCAATCAAGCTATGGAGATTTGAGGATCATCTTCAAGGACCAAGAAAGATGCCAGTCTTTAACGATTACAAGAATGGAAAGCAACAACTGGTTGATGGAACTTTCTCCATAGATACAACAGCGTCAACAACGTACATCACAGACAATGCAGGAAGTAAAATTGAACTTGGATCAAATCTTGTGTACATCATTGAATGACTAGAACTTTAGGTCGTGCATTAACTGATCAAATAATGATGATTTTATTGGCTACATTATGTATTGTGTCTATCTATTGATTAATGAATAAAACAATTTTGGAATCATAATTTTTTTTGTGAATGTAAATTTATTCTCGTGTATAATGCGCGGTAAGATTTATTTTCTGGTACATAACACTCGGTATACATTCGATAAAGGAGCATAATATTCATAAATGCAGTTTCATTAATCAGTTCCATAAACAAAATTTTCAAAGTCTTGTCTAAATGAATCCACAACATCTAGATCAAAATAATACTGTTCGAATTCTTCTGAATAGTCAATGTCTGAATTATAAAGATCCTCATTGTCTATTGCTGTTTCTTCTGATTTTATGCTTTTGTAGCTTTCACGAAGAAGAGTTTTGTCATTTCTATAAATTTCTACAATTAATTCCTTGAACAATAAATAAGATTTTTCTGTCATTTGATTAAAAATTAAGGAACTGATCTGCTTGGATGCGAAAAAAGCTTGTAATTCTCCCCAAGAAGTTTTGTATGATTTGTAGAAATTTCTTAGCATCTTGAATTTATTTACATGCTTTAATCCAATAAATGTAACCAACGGAAAATTCTGTGCTGAATATTCTGCAAACAGAATTTTTCTAAGGCATTCAATTTTAAGATTTTCATCATTTTCAAAGAATTTAGTCAGAAAGTCTTCGAATAACTTTAATTTTTCCACATTTTCAATAATTATATGTCCTTCACTGTAGTTGATGCAGTCAAGCAGGTGTGACTTGTTAGATTTAAATATTTCAGTGACAAAAATCTCAAATTCTGGATAAAAATCTTCTTTGACGGCTACAAAAATATTTAAAAAGTCTTTGCAAGAGATGAAAATATTCTGCAGCTCCTCATGATTGTCTTTGAAATCATTAAGGATTTTAAGCAAGTGCCGAAATCCAGAAATGCTGTAAAACTTGACAATCATTGTAAATATTTCTTGAAATTTTTCTGGATTGAAGAACATTTTCTTGATAAAGATTTTTACATGATTTCCATCCTTTCCAAAAAGATCTGTCGTGATGTTTAGAAAATTTTTATAATATTCTTGATTCAAGACTAAGTTCATGTGATCGTCTGGACAGAATGTGCTGTTCAGTATTTCCTCTACATTAGTTCCGAAAATTTCATTAATTATCCTTAAAAATTCATTTGGAAGCTTCATCTGTCCATAGCCAAAAGCTTTACAGTAAATATTTTGGTTTAGAAACTGTTCCTTAAGCTCAGTTAGTGTCAGATGTTTTGTGAGAATACCCCAGATCTTTTTAAATGAATCAGGATTTTCTGAATAGAATGTGAGCAATAAATGTTCGTAAAAATTAATTTTGTGGTACTTTGTGTCCTTCATTGAGTATATGATAACTTTCTTGATGAATTCCTTATGATCATCTTCATTCTCAGCAAAGAAATCTGCTGCAAACTTTTCAAGAAACACAATATTATTTAATCCAAAATAAATTGTCTGATTCCAGTTGCTGTATTGGATGCAATTGAATATTTCCTTCTTATTAGTTGCAAAAACTTCTTCTATAAATGTTTTAAACTTGTTATAATCTTCACCTGTCATGTTGAAAAATATTTCAGACAGTATTGACCATGATTTGAAAAAATTTGTGAATTCTTCCTGACTAGATTGATATTTCCGGTAAATGTTTATGATATTTGGGATGTTTTGAATCCTTTCAGCACCAAGTTTTTGGAAAAAATCATTAAACTTATCATTCCTGTACAAAATGCTTCTCATTCCTTGAATAATAAAGTTTTCATCTCCGTTGAAAATGTTGGTTACAAAAATTTCTAATTCTGTAAAGACATCACCACTAAACGGCATCTTAGAGCTACTAATAAATTCAATAAGCTTGACTCTGTTGGATTGAAAAATAGTTCTTAATTGTTCTATGAATATAGACAGTGAATCCCGCATGACTTTAAAAATCCCAAAAAAGTCTGCGTACTTTAAAAAAAGATTTTGGACATCATCCCAAGAAACTTTATAATTGATGTATAAACTTGAAACTTGTTCAAAATCATTGTTGTGTTCATTTGACAAATTTGTCATCAATGCTTTGGATACAGTCTTGCTGAATAGCACTTTCTGAATCTTGACATGATCATTTTTGACTACCTTTTGCAAGCATGTTATGAAACTAGTTATGTGCATCGAAGTGTCGTCTTTACACAAAAATCTCTTAATAATATGTAAAAGAATTCCTTCTTCGTTTGGATAGAGTTTATAAATTTCATCAAATAATGCTAACAGAGAATCTTCTGGTAAGTCTTCTTGATCCAAATCTTGAAAATAACAGAAGAAGTCCCTCCAAAAAAGCTTTTTCTCTCTTTTACTAAAATTTTCTTCCATAAAATGTAAAAGTTTGTAAAAGTTCTTGTCATAAGTTCTTTTGTCTATCTTTCCCCATGGATAAAGCTTGTTTATATAATCAGTATTCTTATTGATGAGAGTTTTATCCCAATTATCACCTAAACAATCGCACATAAAATGTATGAGGCTTATTATGGCATAAGAATCTGAAGACTGCCGATAAAAATACATATTCATGAACAAACTTCTATTTCCAGTCCCTTTCCATAACTTCTTTAACGCTTCTGGTTCATTTTGTAGAAATTGACTCCAAAAAACTAAGGTTTTAGAATCCATTTGATTACTGTTGATATTTTTTTCAATTTGTCTTGAAATCAGTTCCTTTATGCTATTTTGCAGACATTTTCCTGTAATATTGGATTTATTATTTAGAAAACTCAGCAGAAATGAGTCATTTTTTTCGGACGCAAGAAACTTTACAAGTTGGAAAATCATCTCAAGCTCATCCTTTCTAATATCCTCATCATCATTAAATATAGCTTCAACTATGAACTGAACAACAAAGAACTCAGCAAAGGTTTTGTGGATAAAGTCAATTGAGTTTCTGTCATCTGTTTCCAAAAATGAAAGGTCCACAATCACAAAACCAAAGCGCTGGATCTTCTCAGCTGTCCAATTTTTCTTCTCTTTCTTCCATTTTTTAATGATTGACAATTTTTTCAAGTCCTTGTCTTCAAAAATGAATTTTAATGCTAGTACTTGGAAGAGAAGCTTGAAATTCAGGAAAATGCTTCGTTCTTTGCTGTCTATTTTCTTTTCGACTTTCTCAACTTGAGCATCAATTAACTTTTCGTAAATTTCATAAAGATCAATAGAATCCATTTCAAAGCCAATCTTTCCACTAATATAAAGTTCAGTCATGATAACAATAATCAATGGATTGTTAAAATCTTGATACTTTTTGAACATTCTACAAACATTTGTGTACAAAAGCTCAAAACTCTTATCCTTTACATTGTCAGCTTTCTTGAATATTTCTGTGATCATCATTCGTTGATTAACGCGACTGTAAGGCTCAAGCGTGTACGATTCAATGTTGAATTTTTCTTCAAACTGATCTACATGCTGAGGACGAGTAGAGATCCAGAGTTGAATCTTTGATTTTTCTTTCAATAGTTTTAAAGTATTTCCTACAAAATTGTTGAATCTTGGGCAGATCTCGTCGATTCCGTCAAATAACAAAATAACTTGATCACTTAAAAAGAGCTTTTTGAAAATTCTAACCTCAAAATCATCATCAAAATTGAAGTTTTTCTCTTTTGCTTGTGGAAATAAAATCTTACAAAGCAGTGTGATCACTTGCTCTAAGTTTGGATCAATATTCAACATTGAAAATTCTTCAAAAACTTCTCTAAAATTCCTTAATCTTATAAAGGATATCCAATAACTTTTATAAACAGCTTTTAACTTTTTTGATAAGTTTTCAAAAGTCGTCGTTTTTCCGGATCCAGCCTTACCAGTTAAGATTAAAATCTTTGTCGTGTCAACTAAATTTTTTATAACCTCAAATTTGAAAGCTTCAGTTCCAGTTCTAAATTTTATGAAATTCCTCTCGATGTATCCATATTTTGCAGACATCCTGCAAACATCACCAAAATGGAAGCACTCTCTATCCAGCAGAATATCCTTTAAATCTTCTGAAGGAAGCAGCTTTAATATTTCTTCATCATTTCCAATTACTTCAAAAAGAGAAATGGCTATGCCTTGAAATTTAATATTGGAATGCAATATTTTAGCTTTCATGGACTGAGTCAGTTCCTCAAAAGTTACATTCTGATCATTATCTTGTAATTTTTTAATAATTGGAAGCGATTTCACTAGTTCTGGCTCAACAACTTCTTTAAAGTAATTGAAAAGTTCTGCGAAATTTTTCATTCGGTCTGCAATAATTTTAGAATTTTCACATTCGATTTTAGGATCCTTAATGTAATAAATCATCATCATTTGAAGAACCAGCACTATCAATTCAGAGTGTTGATGATGTTTAGGATAAAGCTTATAAACATTTCCTACCAACTTTTCAAAATCCTGATTCTTCTCACATTCTGCTGCAACTTTGTCAATGAACCTTGTTTTGTCCTCATAATCACCCATTTGATATGGATCAAAGTTGTTCATGTAGGACATAAGGATGGAAAGATGACAAAATTCATGAGCAATTACTCCGATGACTTTATACTTTTTGTCTTCTTTCAATAGATTTCTAGCACCAATATTAATTAATCCAGATGTGTAAGTGATACCGCTAGAGTTTGCAGAACTAAATGGATCAAAATAATAGGTTGAGTCATGTTTGAAGTCAAAGAAGATCTTAAGACCTTTGCAGGTAGAAACAATTTGAAGGATTTTAGATCCACCTTCATTTTGGTCTATAATTTCGTAAGCTTCATTGATGCACTTCCAATGCTTTTTGCTGTCTCTGTCATTGTTGCCAATTTTAGATTTTGATTTGAGGATCAAAATATGAGTTTTTGGAAACTGCTTTGCATTTGCTTGATTTCGATTGCGCAAGGCTCTTCGTTGTCTTGCTTCGAAACTTAAATAAATTTCCCGTAAATCACAAACTTCATGACATCCAATATTCAAATCAAGTGAGGCTAGTAAATCATAAATCTTTTGCTTCTTATGCTTTAATGTGTAGACCATAAGTGACTCATTGTATTCATCATAAAATAAACTCATGTCTGGCGATGATTGGATTTTATTAGTAAGAGAAACAACATCATCTGAATCAACATAGTCACGCAGTTCCTCACAATCAGCTATGAAATCTTTTATGTCATCAGATGCAATATCGTAGTTGAAATCATCAGGAAATTTGGAGTTTGCTCTTAGAAGAAGTAAAATAATGTCACTGCATATTTTTTTCAGGATCGCATCTTCCGATTGCACAAAAGCCTCCCATGCCTTGTCAACAGCTATGTACTTTTCATTGCCAAGTTTAAACTTCAGATCAAGATCAAAATTATGTTTGAGCAGTCTTAAAACGATGTTAGAATTATTTTGAGTCACTGCATCAATAAGGAGGTTATGACCGTCGTTATTTCCAATATCATGAACTTCGTAAACCTTTTTGCTTTGTGAGCTTTTCAAAATTCCTGAGAAATGTTAATAATTATGAAAACATAAAGTTTTTATCGTAATCTTATTTTCAATTGGTAACTCTTCATCCAATTGTGGATTACTTACCACTTTCTCCTTCTCTTAGCTTTTCAAGTAAGAAATTCTGACAAATTCTTGTGACAGTTCCATCCGAATCATCAGAAATTTCAAGCAAATTAAACGATTTTTGTCCAATGACCTTCCAAAAGATTTTATTGATATGCGGATTAACTGTACATTGAAATGTGATTAATGCCGACTTGTCATTTCCAAAAAGATGGCTGAATGATTTTTCGTCGAGTTTATCATCAAAGCTTTCATTTATTTTGAATTCAATTTTTATTAAATCATCTTTAATTGTTGCATGTGGTCCATAGTTAGATAATGATAATGTTTTGAGTGCTTCATTCAGTGCTTGCATTGTTGAGATTGAATATTAAGTTCTTCAAGTTAATAGATTGAATATTTTACAATATAAACAATGTTGAAGGATTTACTGGTGATCTTTGTCTAAATTAACTTCTATTTTGTAGAAAATCACTTTCCTGCACGACTACATTCCTTAATAATTATTTAAAAATAAGTTTAAATATTAAACTTTTAAAATGAATTAATTTTTTTTGTCAAAAGTTTATTTGCGACCAAAAGCAGCACAAAATTTCGGAATACTAAAATAGATAAGCAATACTCGCGAATGTAAACAGCAGTTTTCAATATGATACAACTCACGCACAATTTGGTCATGATCGAAAAAACTGGCAACACAGCACATTGTGTCTAGTTATCATTTTCAAGTAGTTCCAGCGATTCTCAATCTTTTTAAATCTTTGTGCTTTTAAAAATAAAATTTTAAGCTTTTAGATTTTCAAACACTTTGAATATATTTTATTAAAGCTTTTACAGTTTAAGATTCCATACGATTTATTTTTAATTATTGGATCAACAACATGATTCCTTTACTCTCATTACATTTAACATAGTTCCTAGTGTCATTTCTGCAATCGGTCGTGTCAGACAATTTTTAATTGATTTAAGCTGATTAATCGAGAATTTTACTAGAAACTGATCAGATTTGCTAAGTTCTCTAAATTTTCTGTCATTTAAATAATTTTTGAGATTCTTGTCGTCAACTTCAGTAAGTTCTAGTTCCGATGGATATTTTAGTTCCAACAAGTTCATCAACACTTCTTCCTTGTCATTTATGTCAATTTTGTCACTTTCTAATTTTTTATAGCTTCCATAAGTGTTGCTGTTGTAGTCTAAATGATCATTGCTACTTCCATAATCTGAAATCCTTTTAATGTCAATCAGATGCATTTTTTCCGCAAAAATCATGTTCCTTCGATATTCAAAGCCTTTAACATTCTGAAACTCAACCTTGATCTTTTCAAGCTCAGCTTTTGTAAAAATTTGTCTCAAATGGAACTCTTTCGAAAGATCCACATCATATTGATAGCCTGGAATTCCTGCTAATCTTCTCGCTTGAAATAGACGAGATTCATAAGTGGAAAATGGAATGTACCATTTAAGTCCTTCTGTAAAGGCACGTCCGAGCTTTTCGAATGTTTTAGTTTCCATTTGAAGGAATAATGAAAAATTATAGCGGATTAGGATGTGACAGATCCTGTTAAGATTAATAGGCAATTAAAAACATTCATAATTTTCTATCCAATAGGAACTTACACTTCCACAACTTCTAGTTTCTGCAAGCACATGTTATATTCGTCTTTGACTCCTAACATGCTTGTTATCACAGCCCACATATGAATGTATGCCTCTCGATCTTCCTGGCAGTCATGAGTAATAGATAATAAATGAGGTTTCACGAGTGCATATCCCATAAAGCCAAAAGTCGTGAATGTCATGAAAGTTTGTGGAATACCTTGACCACTGCGAGATAGTGAAGCATTTGAAGCTGCTAAATGCATTAATCTAACACGTTTTAGAGATTCCCATGACCTGTAATAATGGAAGTAATTAAGAATAATTTATTCAAGAATTTTAAGCTGTTTTCCTGAATTGAACTAAATACCTTGATCCAGGTTTTAACGGATCCGTGCACCACGAAAGCATGTGTAATGTTGTGTCAGCATATCGTTTACGAGCCAAATTAGCTGTGCTTGAGTGATTAGTTTTATCTAGAAGCTTAGCTCCGTTTGGTTCACAAATTAAAGAAAACAATCCATACATATTTGACTGCATGATTCCGAAACGATTGTTCATGAAATATTTCTGCCCGCTAGATAATTGGGGTATTATTTAATACACAATTAAGAGATGATTTCGGACTTTATAGATTAAATAAAAATAATTTTTATATTACCGCTTGAATTTAGCATCGTCATAAAAGTCAGGTAGCCGATAGATATCTTCACTAAAGCTGACATCACAAAGTTCTGAAGGTTGAAATCCTTTGAATAAAAGGTTAAGTACGAATGCTTTGGCAGCTGTAAAAGATATTTTAATAGAACAGACATGAGAAAGCCATCAATTACACCATGGATACGCGAAAATAAATTGTTTTGTGACGTCATGAAATCATAGAATAGTCGGTAATGATTTTTTTGTTCAAACTCATTCATTCTTCTTTCGGCATCTTCTGTTCAAGTTTAAGGTCACTGGACACTCTAGTAACATTTTTGTATTAATTCCTTCAGCTGAGTTAAATTTATAATATGGGAACCGATTGAAATGTGTCAAAATGTCACGTAGACATAGCTCTTTGTCATTTCATCTCTTCAAACCCGAGTAGCAAAGATATTGGGTTTATATGAATATGTAGTAATCAGTTGACACCTCTGAAAAGTTGGGTTGGATTTTATTTGAGACTTAATATTAAGCTAGTTGCCATGATATGCTGCTAGTGAGTTTTAATCGATAAACAGTTTTAAATTATTGATATGAAATTATATTGTACACAGAATCGATACAGCCTTTATGTAATGCATAGTTATTATATTGAGTTGTTCTATACACTTCCTTAGAATTATTGAAGGAAAACTTCTAACACAAGCTTACGAATGAGATTCATAAAAATTTTATCTGAAATTCCAACTTTTTTACTTGATTTTAAGTGAGTTTCTGAACAAACCAGGTTTGGGCAACTAGTTCAATGATTTTTCATTGGTAAAGGAATCGAAGCTCTGCAAAATTTCGATTTTGGGAATATTTGTAAACTGAAGAATCGAATCTACCCATCTACTAGTTAAACATCATATTTATCAGTAAACTAGCATCAAGTTCTTCCAAGAAATAATCAAAATTCAAATTATGAAATGATTTATTGCATATTGGAATCATGTGCTGTCAGATAATTGTTCATTACAATGTGAAATACGATACTTTAGTTAATCAGTAGTTTCTCTGTACAAAAAATTTGTGATTTTTTCCCGTCAATTAATCATATTCAGTAGATCATATTCAAAGTCGTAAAATCTCAAAGCAAAGTGACTGTAAATTTTAATATTCACAAAATTTGTGTGTAAGATGAAAAGTATCAAGTGCAAATGTGCAATTCAACTATAAATTACATAATCTGTTATAGAAAAAGCTCCATCCAATGCCAAGTTCAAAGTCATTTCTAGGAAAACCGGTACGGAAATAAATGAAATGTTGATGAATAAATTAGTATTTAGAGATTTTGCACTATCATGATTGGGAACAGTTCAATATGATGACATTATAATGCTTTTTGGGGATGATGAATCGTTTTGATGCAGGCTTATTAAATTTTAATGTAATTGTGTTTATTGTTTTGCATTCTTGTTTTTACAACTGCAGAATATCCCACAAAAAAAATTAGCATCATTAGCAGGAATAGTTGGGAATATTTTCATTTCTTTAAATAATGCATATTTTTAATATCAAGAAAGAAGTTTATTCAAAAAACAATAAATAGACCTAAAGGATTCACTTATTACGTAACGCTTTTAGGGGGGGAGGGGGGTCTAAGATTTTGTTACGGTTCAAAAAAGGAAATTTTTTTTCATACAAATTTTGTTACGAGGGGGGGGGTCTAAAAAGTCATTTTTTCGCGTTACGTAATAAGTGAACAGCCCCATATTATGTAGATGTGCTACATATACAAAAAACGTTGCAATTGCCAAATGGGATTTCTTTGATATTTTCTTCTGTATAATTTGCTATTTTGTGTTTAGTGCAATCAAATAGCTGATAAAATATATTAATTGCGTACTTAATAAGCATATAAATGAATCATTTTAAAAGAAATGCTAATGTTTGATAAAAATTGATAAATTCAAATCAACTCCAAAAAATCTTCTGGAAATGTTTGCAATTTCTCGTGTATGACAATGCAAAAAACAAGATACCTTAAACAGGTTCTCCCGAATTTTGATTGTGGATTTTTATTTTGTCTGGATGCAAGAAAAATTAAGAAGTTTTTGTGTTTGCTACAGTTTTGTTTCATTTAAAATTTTATTTTTAACAAGATCGACACAAACGCTAAACTCCCAATGACTTTCAAATCGTGGTTCGTTCTGAAAACTATCAATTGATTGTTTTAGCTTTCAGAATTATTTTATGATTTTTTTTTTAAACTTGACAATTTTCTTATCAATTCTTTGACATAATTAATAATCAGATTTCTAATAATTCTTGTTTAGAGTCACTTTAAATTATTTTTTTCATTACGCAGAACAGCCTTTTAAATCTTTTTGTCAATAAATGTGATGTAACAAACAGAAATCGATAAGATAATTTAAAAATGCACTGTGATTTCCGACTTTTGTTGATAATAATTACACAGCTGATTTTAAGGTACAATGAACTTATGTTTTTTTTTCATACCTTCCTCTGCTGGGCTAAGTTTCAAATTGTCATCCATATTTTAAATATTTAAAAAATAGCGAGTTTTAAATAATTATAAGTTCAGAATTTTTAAATGTTCAAGCACAAATTTCGCAAATGTTTTATTTAATATTTTTTTTAAGAACTCCCGAGTATCCCGTCAAATAAATACTTCCGAACAGTCAGAACAAAAGTTCAGCACTGAGAACAGAATGAAAATTTAAAAAAAAATTAAATACGAATTTCGAGAAAATGAGTTTGTGTACAGAACATGCGGTAAAATATCATCAACAACGTTGTCGTGTTTGTTTGTATTCTGTTTATAGTTTCGTAGCCTAATTATTGTGCGATCATACAATTTTTTCTCATTATAATATTGATGGTGGGGATTATTCACTTATTACGTATCACTAATAAATGTATTTAAATTTCCATCAACTTTCTTTATGCTTCAATTAAGATGGGGAGGGGAAGGGAAAGGTGTAGGAGAGTAAAAACATGTTTAAATCTTGCCTAAGTTCAAATAAGCCAAATGTTGACCCAGGGAGTCTTTAAAAAGTCATGGTGTAGGAGATTAGATGTCCATACTGAGGGAATATCGCCGAATTTTTTAAATTTTTAATATTCGCTTAATTAGCGTTATCTACTTTCAAAAAAAATGCTTCTCTCCTCCCCTATGTTAATAGATTGCAATTTATAATTCAAGAATTCTTAACTTATTCATACTTCAATTGAAACAATTAATTAATATTAATGATATTTGTTTTTATTTCATAGGCAATTCAAAAAGAAAAAAATGTGTCGAATTAATATTTACAATATTTTAATAATTGTGATGTAGTTAAACCTGACGACGCAAAAATAATAAATGCTAGTTAAAGGTTTCTAACTTGTCATTTTTGTCAGTTGCACGTAAATGAATTTAAAGTTACGATGGAACAACACTAGCTGCAGTATTATCTTGTAAAAGTTCTTAAATACTAAGCAGAAATTAGCTATTCTTTAATATTTTCAAGTCATTCAAGTTTTGGTAAAATTATCAGGCATTAATGAGAATAAAAGTAAATTTACGATTTAATTTTTAAAATAATAATAAAAATTGATCTAATTTAAATCTTTAGTTCATGTTTTACACTCCAATTGGATTTGTTTGAACTATGTCATGGTTCTCGCAAATATTTTTGGAAATGAGGGACATCCTTTTGTAATTTTCGTTGAAATCTGCACTGTGGATTTTCCTCAAATTAATTCTCACTCTGTCGCTCGCCTCTACACACCATGTCTCAGTCATTAATTTCTCATGATCAGCTGAAGGTAAATTAGCTTTAAGTGATCGCGAACAACGAGAAAGTGCACAAGTCATTGCATAAACATCTATTGCGGAATCAGCGAGACGATTAAGTAAAAATTGTTCATCGACAATTCTCTTTCCATATTTTATTAGGAGTGACTCTACGGCACGTGAAAACATGTCAATTGATTCACCACAAAGTTTTGCAGAATCTTTAAGTGATGGTTCAACGAGTCCAGTCATGTCAACTCCACCTAATCCGATGTAAGATCCTGCACGTTTTTGAGCCTCTTTGAAAATAATTCCTAAGTTTGTTGCTGGATTTTGGAAGGCTCTTTGAAGTTCTTTGAGATGGGAACCAGCATATTGAATTCCAGTCAATGCAACAAATAAACGAAGGATGTCGTTTGTTCCTTCAAAAATTCTGAAAATACGTAAGTCACGTAAAAATCTTTCTAATCCTGTGTCTCTCATGAAACCCATTCCACCGAGAATTTGAATAGCTTCATCACAAGCATACCATGCACCTTCTGAAGCAAATACTTTTGAGATTGCAGCTTCCAAGTGATAATCATTTGATCCGAGATCCATGTTACCAGCAACCATATAGGCAATTGACTGATTTACATACTGAATACATGCCATCCTTGCTAGTTTCTCTTGAATTCCTCCGTATGAATCAAGTTTCTTGCCAAATTGAGTTCTTTGAGTTGCATGCTCGCTAGCTTTTTGAATGCAAAGACGCATAGTTCCACCAAGTGTCATTCCCATGCCGAATCGACCACTGTTTAAAATATTCATTGCAACTTTGAAACCTTCACCTTCTTTGGCAAGAATATTTTCAACTGGAATTTTAACGTCCTCAAAATAAACTTCAGCTGTGTTGGAGCACTTAATTCCCATCTTCTTTTCTGGTGGTCCATTTGTAACGCCACCGAAGCCTCGTTCAACAATAAATGCAGTAACTTTGTCCTTCTTTTGACCATTTTCATCTGTGACTTCTGTTTGTGCGAATACTGTCATTATGTCTGCGATGCCTCCATTAGAAATCCAAATTTTCGATCCATTCAAAATATAGTGCTTGCCATCAGAAGACTTTACTGCTCTACATTTAATTGAGGCAGCATCGCTTCCGGCAGATGGTTCGGTGAGAGCAAATGCTGCATAAGTTTTTCCAGTGGATACTTTAGGTAAATATTTTTCTTTCTGCTCTTTTGTTCCGTAAAGTAAAATACCCTATAATTCATAGAAAGAATTTATAAGTGAAATAATCTTATCATCAATTGAAAGTTATGTGATTGATCAAAGTTTATATACAACGTGCCCTAGTAAGTCACGCGTAACCGCATATCAATGTATTTTCTAATCTAAAGATCAAATCTATTTTTCTTTTTAAATAAAGTTTACCTTAAATCCAATGGATTGATGAGCACCGATAACGATTCCCAAGCCTAAGTCATGCATACCGATAATTTCTCCCATACGTCCGAATTGTGTATTGTTCAACTCCAAACCACCATACTCTTGTGGAACTTGCAATCCGAATGCACCAAGTTCCCAAAGGCTCTCTAGTGTATTTTCATCTACTTCCTACAATTAATTTGTGAATATTTACATAAACAATTTCAAGGTCATCTTTGAAAACTTTCGATCTTACGGCATTCATGTCATTTTTATTAGCGTCGTTGACTTCTGAGAAAAATTTGGTAACTGGATCGATGAAAGCTGAGACATATTCAGTCTGCTCTTGATTAAGTGCTATTGGGTATGGAAAGACTTGTGAATGTTCGACTTGACCACGAAAGAGATTATGGACGAATGACTGATTGTGCTTTGCTTTCTCACGAAGTGCCTGTTTTTCTTCTTTTTTTGTCTTTTGTGGCTGTGCTTGTGCTGCTGACAAACACCTAATACGAAAGAAAAAATAACAGAGAAAATATTCAGTGATTACGCTTACACAGTCCAAAGTCCAATTGATCATCAATACAGGAAGGAATTTGAATGTTTCATATACTGCAAACTGGGTCATTAATTTTTACTGTAATTATTCTTTACCTGATCAGTTCTTTCTGTCCATTAACACTTTTTGAACTTTTTGCGACTTGACCAATAACGCGAAGCATAATTAATTATTTTTGAAACTTATTAACACGAGCGATGACGAGGAAATAATAAATGAATATGAGAAAGAATTTTCTATTTTTTTCTTGAATTTCGTAAACAACAAAATGATTTGCTATAATAAGTTAAACTTCTGTTTGAGTCTTGGGGAAATTTTCAAAACTTTTTGACTCGTTAAAATAAAACAAAGGGGAAGGAAACTATTTTTTGTTTACATTTAATTTGTTTGCAAACCATTTTTTGACATAAACATTATATTTTAATCGTTACTAGCTTAATTTAACATCAAAATGGTTTGCGAAAAGTGCGAGCTTAAATTGAAACATGTTGCCACAGCTGATCCTTTTAAGAAGGGAAATACGTTAAAAGAAAAGGCTGGAACTTCATCAGGAAGAGCTATTAATGAAAATAAAGCACTTTCTGCTAAAAGGTTTAATTTTTTTAAATGTTTCCTTGTTTTTTGGTTTATTAGGTTCCTTTGAATTTAACGTTGACTCTGATAAAGTTTCCGATTACGTTTAAAATTAAAATGCTTCAAAACTGTTAAAAATTATAAACTTATGCTTGGTTTTTATAAATTTAAACATTTTTTGTCATGGACCCCCTCCCTTCACAACCCCAACAAATCATGAAGATCCTTAATGACACTTAAAAGGTCCTTACAACATATTTTATTTCATCTGCAGATACGACCCAATGACTGGAATCAGAAAGTGCCGAATTTGTCAAGCAAAAATGCACCAAGAAGGAGCTCACTACTGCCAAACCTGTGCATTCAAAAAAGGAATTTGTTCAATGTGCGGAAAAAAGATTCTCAACACGAAGTCTTATCGACAGTCTACAACCTAATCTATTTATTTGATATAGAGCCAATTTTAACTTCTAAGATTTATCATAAGGAATAAAATATTAATTTTGTCTAAGCACCTAAAATATGAAAAAATGAATTTTATTCTTTAAATTTCAGAACAGCTATCAACTGGTAGAAAAAAAATGCTTAATATAATATATAATATTATTGTTGTTACAGCAATGCGACACTTGAAAAACTAAACCCTCTGTATCCCTTTTTCAGCATTCAAAATTATCATGATCCAATTTCAATTGAATAATTTTATTTGACTATTTGTTGCATTTCAATATGTTTTGTGCATCAATCAAACGATTTCTGAGCGTCGTATTAATCTAAATGCCATATGTTTTCTGTGGAAACTTCATGTCTGGATTTTTGAGTTTCAATTTTTTTGAATCCAAAAGCAAACAACGAAAAACATTCAACAGGATTTAAAGGCAGGAATGAGCAGCGATTGGAAATTTCAATATTTTTTTTGTTCATACATTTACCCAGAAATATTGTTGCTCTATACATACATGTGTAGGACAACAAAAGGCAGGTGAGAACTTAAAAAAGATAAAAACTGTTATCGAATTTTTTGTGGTTGGTTTTTGAGCTGTTTATTTTATGGAAAGTGAGGAACTGATGACTTTTTAACGCAATGCAATTTTAATGACTATGAATTATTAATGAGCCTTGAACTTGAAGTCCATAACATTATTTTATGAATGTTTCACGATAAATGCAAACATGTATAGTTAAAAAATTGGAAGTACGCTCTGTGATTTGATGATTTACGTCAATTATCAGATTTATTGAAAGGTTCAACGACCATCAAGTCTGATTGATAAAGAACTGACGCCAAAATGTCAAACAAACATTTGTACAGGATGTAAAGTCAACTTTTTATTGCATTGGAATCACAAAAAGTATCAACTAATTGAAGTTTGAGGAACTGAACGAAAATGTTTTTTGTTGGTGCCACAATCATCATCATTATGTTGTGGATGAGAAATTTCAATTGCAAAATATTTCGGCAACATCATAATTTTTGGAGTATTTTCGAGTTCCTTTTCGGACTTTTGTTCTTTAATGTAAGTTGTGAACAGCAAGAAATTCTGCAGTTTTGCTTTATGCTGCACAAATAAATTAATTCACATCCAAAATAAGAAGTCGAAATGAACGGAGAAGAAAAAGAGTTGAATAATTAATGAACAGGTGGTTCCAAAATTCCATTTGAGTTCATTTTTTGTTATTTTTTATTGATGACTGTTGCATAATTTTTGACTTGTTCGACTTCTTCATCACCATCTTCGTACTTCTGTCGATCATCATCAATGAAATTCTTACTCACAGTTATTATTCTGATTCTCATTAACTTTCTTATTAAACCTCGAATCAAGCATGAAGAATTCTCATTTCATTTGTCCAACAGACCGTACTTAAAACTGTATTCTTGACTAAAGTCAAGCAATAAGACGATAGAATCGAAAATTGACTGTTTAGATTAATTGATCATCTCAAAAAGGCATAGATGACTAAAATGTTAAGATACAGTCGTGTTTAGGTGTTAAGACTCATTAAATGGATTTAATTAGATTCTTATTTATTGTATTTGATGCGAGCAAGAACGAAGCAGTTAAGAAAGGCGAACAAGGCATGAAAAAAATAATTCTCACGACTTTTGATCTTCACGAACTTATTCCGACACATCGTGGCATCACTCTCGATTCCATTTTCTTCTCCATTCTTCTCATAGCTTTATGTATCGTCCAAAGTTTTGGCTGAGATCAATTTCGGGAAATACTCTCGACCCTCATCGTCGTAGTCTTCATCATTGATTGTTATTATTACTGCTTTATCTCCTGTGTATTTCTTTTATTGGCTTGTTAAGTCATTTTTCACGACTCATACTCATTTCACTCATATTTTTTTAAGGTTGGCGCAATAAGATGATCATCATGCGCGGACGGTCATTTCTTCTCCAATTCCTTCTCATTCTCACTCTCGTCTGTAAATCTCAACAAGTCACAGACACAAAATATTTCATAAATTTCTCATCGGAACTTTTTTTTGGTTTCCACACTCATCATCGGCTCATGACTATCATCTTCATGAGATATTATGTGGGAATCTTAAATCTGATGAGAACTAAAAATTGCGCGCAAAACATTCTCGATAATTTTTGTCTCATTATTGATAATTTCTGTTCTGACTCGCCATTCCTGATGATAAATGTTTCATGATTCTCGTCGTCGTTCTGCATTTTTTTGAAATTATTTCATGTTGATTCATGTCCGTGAGAACTTCGTCGCTTATCATGAACAGTTTTTAGAATCAACAATGAGAATGACCGCGAAATATTTTTTTTGGCTTCTCGGAAATGACGAAATGATAAAATATCAGTTTGGAGCATAATATTCTAGTTCTGAAGGGAATTTGAGTTTTTCTGTTAATTGCCACTTGAAATAGTATTTGGATCTTGAGGCTAACATGCTATACCTTAATAAAATGACAAAAAGTACTGAATATTGATCAAGTATCTCAGGCTCAAGAAGTTTAATGAACTAAACAATATGAGACAATAAAAAATGAACTCCAGCTGCATTTTGTCATGTTGATTAACTTTATAATTTTAAGTTACAAATCTCTTTGACCTCATTCACACATATGTAGCATTCATCTCTTCCAATTTTTCATGTCATCTTCCTCAACCCTTTTTATTTCACTGTCTTTGATTGTATTTGTGAGCAGTGACAGTAAAAAAAGATTGAACAATTGTCCAACGATTAATGCTGCGTAACATTGTCTAAATTCTTTAATGTTGGAACTAATTTTGATTCCTTTCATGCGAATTTTTCACTTGTTTCATAATATTCACTTGATGAACTTTAAATAATTTCATGTCTGTAGCTGTTAATGTCCTCACAAACTCTTTTGATTGATGACAATGAGAAAATTTTAAAGTTTACAGCACACGGAAAATTAATTGTTCTCGTGTGTGACATTAGAATAGTCAATGGAAGGGTGAAATTTGTCATGTATTCAGCCACAAATGGTCGATGATCGTGAATAGTCTGCAAAAAATGCAAATCAGCAAAGGAAATCGAACAGCTGAAAAAGTTGTCAATAAATCACTCAAACTTCTCTCTTTTTTGTCAATCAATCGATGTCCATAGAATCTTTTATGCAAATCATTCCAAAGTCCATTGTTCCTGTTTTATCCGAGAACAAATCTTTCATTTGTTAAGCCAAAAATCAACAAATGAAACGAAATTTTTTTCAGCCACAAAAATATGTCAGCAATAAAAAAGTTGAGGGAAAGGAAGATCAAAACAGAAGTGCAATGAATTAAATAAGCAAATTCAAGTGGATTGTTATCGATAGTTGGCTGTTAATCCTTTGAACCCTTGACAAATTTTCACATGAATATCTCGGCACTCAATTATGAGTGCTCATCTGAACTTTATTTGGATTTAAAGTTGTTATGCAAATGTCGCAATATAAAAATCATATTTAATTCAATTTATCTATGCTGTATTTATTGAGCAAGTGGAATTCCCGACAGATTTTTGTGTAAGCCACGAAAAGAATTTTCCACTTCAACATGATTCAACCCTTAAAAAAAATAATAATTATTTTGGCATGTATATAAGTTAGTTTAGTTCCTGCATCTCGTTAACTCGAAATTTATGTCTCGCATTTTTATGTCTCTAAAAAAATGAGGGTAAAAATCTGATACAATTGTCTATGCTGCTTAGTTGTTTTTTTGAACCCATACCGCAATTGGAATAAATCAGATCTGATTCATTTATAGCCACAAAAATATTTATCGCAGATTTTTTGACATTCCAAAAAAAAATATTAATTTATCGCGCATATGGATATGACAATAAAGGCAAGATGTTCTGTGACTACATATGGAAATACTGCGTGCATTGAGAGAAATTTGAAAGAAATTTTCGTGGTTCTAGTGAGACATAAACTCGTGACTGGTTAAAATAAGATTCTGACAATTTCCTGTCTTTTGATGAATTTCTATGAAGCCATGCTTTGCCATGCAGGAAATTTCAATGAACATGTCGAAAGGATTTTAAGAACAGAACTTCATTGTTTAATGGAAATGACACAAAAACAGTCTCGAGAATATCTAATGCATAATTAATCACGACCTGATGTAACCCACAATAAAACATCAAAATTGTCTATCGGAACGTGATCAACACAAACTTAAACATAAGGCATAAGAAATTTGATGTCTGTGCTGGTACCTGCATCGACTTTTATCATTTTAAAGCTTGTTCAACTTACAGCCACTCACGTGGATTTTTGTTAATTTTTTTTGATAAATAAAACAGGATTTTAAGGCATGAAGCAGCTGCTTTTGATGCTGTCTTACCTTAATTTCTTCTCATTTTCTTTTCATTTCGATCATAAAAGTTTTTTTTTAAATCATTTCCTCATTTTTTATTCGCTTCCAAAAATGATGATGCCACATCCTTCTCAATTAACTGTAGCTCAAAATGCTAATAAAAAGTTGAACATTTGTTGATAAGAAAGGAACAAAAATCATCAAAATAAATTTCCCGTGCATCTCATCCTCAAAAAATAGGGCAAAAAATGTAATTTTTTTTTTATTTATTGCCCTCGCTTATGCTGCATTATTTAACAATACAGTGCTAATAAAAATATTAGGGAAATAAAGCAGTTCATTGAAAGAGATGCGCGTGCACTTAACATAAAGTGCAAAAGTTAGGGTTGAATGGAATGGAATGGAAAATACAAACAATCAGTGGCTAATTTCCTGACAAGAATTTATTGACCTCATTCTAATGATCCGAATTTGGCGCATTTTTTGTTGCACAAATCTTTTACGGCCTGTTTCACTAAGGTGGATTATCCACCGATCGGATTATCCACTTTTTCAATCCGAGGATAATCCATAAATTTTTTTACTTCGTTAAACTGCACGATGAATCAGAAAAAATGGATTTAAAGAAAATAATTTTTTGACGATGGATTTCACAAAAGAAGATTATCCTAGTAGGTGGATTATCCGAAGATTATCCTGAGATTATCCTAGGATTATCCACATAATTATTCTAAAATGTTAAAACTGGGTCCCCCCAAGATTGAAAATTCGGATAATCTTCAGGATTATCCTAGGATAATCTCAGGATAATCCATATACTAAAATCATTTTTTTGCTATAGTCACTATCCAATAAAAAGATTTTTTCTCAAATTGTTCTGATTATTATTAACCAATTAATTCTACATCAGAAAAAAATTATTTGGATTTTCCGCGCATCGAAGAAAAAGATAATCCTAAAATGAGGATAATCTACCTTAGTGAAACAGGCCGTTAGTGATGGAAAGAAGGAAGACAAGACAAAAGAGAAGATGCAAAGATGAAACAAAAAAGAATTGCACCTGCTCAAAATGGAATGTGATTGCGATCATTTCTGAAACTTCTTCTTGATTCCATTTTAATAACTTTCTGGTGGTTTTGTAACTGAATATTGCTGTAATTTTTAAATGAGATAGCTTCATTAGTAACTTAGATCCGAAATATATTTTTTATTAAATAATTCATCCAAAATATCTTCAAACTATTCCTACTTCTGCCACTGAATTCGATACTTTAATCTACTCAACAAAACCTTAGTAGAAAAAATGTTATCCCAAAAAGTGTTGCTGATTCCAAAAGCTTTATCATGATGTCTAAAATGATGATCATTGTGGTGTCTTTTCAAGTTATAAAAGTAATTGCTAGTTGGACTTGCAAAATGAATATAGTAATGAGTCATGTCATAGCATAAATATCCAATCAGATTCCCTGCAAAAGATAGCTTTGGATAATGAAGGAATTGTAGAATATAAAACACAAGAGAAGCTATTACAGCTGCGGGAATCGGTGGAAAAACTAATCGATATTTGTCAAAAGGAACCTAGAAAGATTTAAAAGGTTAAGTAAATCAAAATTGATTCATATCATTTTCAAAATTAAGCATCTTACTTTGTGGTGATTTCCATGAATGAAGAAATGAAAAGTTTTCAAGTCTGGAAATCGACGAACATCAATATGAAAACAAAATTGATGTAAAACATACTCGAATAATGTCCACAAGAATATTCCAATTATTAACTGAGTAAATACTTTAAAAAACACCTGAAATATTAATTTTTCATTGTCTGTATTACTTTTTATAGAGTCTATGCTTTCATCATACTTACTTGATTAGTTTCTTGCAATGCCAGCTCATTTTTAATTATGTAAATTATAATTGGAATCCAGAACAATAAAGGCATATACCATGTTGACTAAAATGACAATTTTTATACATTTTTGTCTTATATTGATTAATTTTATAAGTACCTTTGTGATTAACTCCAAAAAATCACTTTTAAAGAGTCTCAAGTCTCGATCGACGGGCGAATTTACCCATTTTTCATAATTGTCACCAAGTTTTGATATTTGTGGGAGCATTGCTTTATTCCAGTCAACTAAGTTCTGTAATTGAAATTATCTTAAGCTTTCTGGAACTAAACCTAATAAAACTTCTTCAAACCTCAATTCCTTCATCTGTTTCCACTTCTGTTTCTAATTTATATTCTCTTAACATATTTTTTGCAGTAGCAGAATGATTTGAGCTATCAAATTCTAAATCAATGTTCTTATTATTTTTAAACTTTAAAATGTTTTCACCACCAGGATGGATCCGTATGAATTTTGTCAAGTCATACTTATTGTTTCCATATTTCACAACCAAATTTTTCGAAATGTCGTTTATCTTATGTCTGTCTCCCATGACTGATCAATAAAAACTTAAATTCATTAAGACTGAGGAACAAAAATTGGAACAAATGTTTTTCAGTTCTCATTGTGAATTTTTATTCAAGTAAATTAAAACTGTTCAATAATGAGCCTAGCAAATAAATAATTGTGAGCCATTCCGCATTCTGTCACTGAATTCAATAGCTTAATCTCTTCAAAAAACCTTTTGTGGAGAAAACATTATCCCAAAATAAAATGATGACTCCAAAACTTTTATCATGTTGTCTAAAATGATGATTTAGGTGATGTCTTTTTAATTTATAAAAATAATTGTTTCTTAGGTTTGAATTATGAATAAAATAATGAGTTGTTTCATAGCATAAATATCCAAAAGCAAACCCTACAAATATTAGTTTTGGATAATCTATAAAATTGCATTTTTGTAGAAATTTTAGAAAATAAAAAATAATAGAAGCAATTCCTGCTGAAGGCAACGGAGGAAATACAAGTCGTAAATTGTCAAAAGGATTCTAGAAAGATTTAAATGTTGAGGAACAAATTATTGCCTTCAATATCGAATATCTTACTTTGTGGTGAATTCCGTGAATCAAAAAATGAAATGTTTTCAATTTTGGAAAACGACGAAAATCCACATGATAAATATATCGATGCGATACATACTCCGCCAAAGTCCACAAGCATATCCCAATTATCAGTTGAGTAAATACTTTTGCATACACCTGAAAAATTTCATTTTCTTTGTAAAATTATTCTTTCTAATTTACATTTTTATCATTCATACATCGAAAGTTTTATCAAGCAATGCCAAGTCATCTTTAATCATGCTGATACAAATTGGAATCCATATCAATAATGGAACGTACCACGGTGTCTAAAATGAGAATTGAAGTCACTTTTGTCTTCAATTGATTAGTTATGACAAACCTTTGAACCCAATTCAAGAAAACTATTTTCAAAAAGTCTTAAGTGTCGATCAACGGGTAAATTTACCCATTTTTCATAATTGTCACCAATTTTTGATATTTGTGGAAGCATTGCTTTACTCCAGTCAACTAAGTTCTGTAATTGAAATTATTTTAAATTATCCAGAACAAAAGCTTATAAGAATTCTTCAAACCTCAATTCCTTCATCTCTTTCCACTTCTGTTTCTAATTTATATTCTTTTAACAAATTTTTTGCAGCCTCAGAATGATTTGAGTTATCAAATTCTAAATCAATGTTCTTATTATTTTTATACTTCAAAATATTTTCACCACCAGGATGGATCCTTATGAATTTTGTCAAGTCATACTTATTGTCTCCATATTTTACTACAAGTTTTGTAGAAATGTCGTTAATCTTCTGTGTATCTTTCATGACTGATTAATAAAAACTGAAATAATAATTTAAATGTGATATTATAAAAAAAATTCAGGTACGGCTAGGTACGCCGTCAAATATTTAAACAAATGTTTCTCAGTTTTGTGCAGTTCTTTTAAATTTTATTCAAATTTGTTCAACATTTTGCCAAAAAAAACAAATAATTATAAATTATCACATTCAATATTTCATAACGTATGTCCTGCAGCATAACTTATTATTAATATGTTTACGGATATTAAAATTCATTATAAAAATTGACCATTAACGCACCTAAAAATTTCATTTAAATTATTTTATGATGCAATCAAATAAAAGCGTGCTGCATGTCCAAGCATAACATGTTTGGATAATGATAAAGCAGCGGGAAAGCATGGAAAAAACATAAGGGTAAAATTGAAGGTAGAAAACATTAGTTTAACGAAATATTAATAAATTCAAAAATATTTGGTACTTAAACATTTCGTGAGCGCGCTATGAGACGTTTATGCATCTGTTGATAATGCACAAAAGGAGAATGAGGAGAGAAATAAAAATCGATTAAGATACAAAAAAGAAAGGACTAGAAATTGATGATGCATGTTATAAATTATTAAGAAGGGAATATGCGTACATACGTACAACATACATGTATTATGTTGATGAAAAACAAATAAAGGTAAGAAATTGAAAAGGACAAAGGAGAGGACATGGAACAAAGGACAAAGAATTCTTCTTCTTTTATGCTCAACATCTCCCTCATCTTATTCTTTTTAATCTTTTCCTTTTAAATTTCATTCTTTATTTATTTTTTTTCGCCATGCTCAAAATGGTACAAAAATTGTTTCAAGGAAGCTTCATTCTTCATGTTCTTGCACTTCTGCTCCTCATCTTTTCGAGATGTTGAACATGAAAAAGTTTCTACCTGAAGTTCTACTCAATGCTGTTCTCATTTGTGCAATTCAAAAACACACAATAAACTTACCGAAACAAAGTTACATGCTGAATATGCAGCTCCAATCATTGCTGCTGAGTTGTTAAATAATTTACGTTGCGAATTTGTTGACACAAAATATGTAAAGACAACCACGAATGTAAGAATCATCTCAACTCCAAATCGTTCCCATGATGAGACCGCAGATGAATGTGAAATTGCAGCTTGGAGATTTCCTTGATATCCAGGAAGTGATACTCTGAAAGAATAAAAATTAAACAAAATATTATTTAAAAATCGTTCCCATGAATATCATGATGAAGTGAAAACCACAAGAGACTGAGGTATGCTGGATGTTGTAAACAAGTGTTCAATGTCTAATCTGATAATCTTGCATTGGATCAACAAAACCCTCTTGCTTGCTTACATTTATGCATAAAGTTGTTTTTAATTGAAATTTAAACAGTTTTAAAATTGTAAACTGATCCTTAATCTGATTGTTCCTGAACTATATATCTCTCCCCTCTGAATATATTTTTTAAAATACATGAATCTAGACACAATAACTCGTAACTCGATGTGCGATATTTTAAAACCACATAAAATGAACATAGATGCAGTGTCGATTGCGGTCACATAAACTGTTATTACATGCTATGTACTGAGGGGTGCAACTTAATTTTTACGAGTGGGTTTGAAATTATCTCAAATATTTTTTTTATATCCACTGCACAGCGCTAAAGCAAAAAATGATTTTTGCCATAATGTCCTCTCAACTTTTTTTTATTCATCCACTGATTGAGTTCCTTTCATAAACATTTGTTTATATTTTTTTGTGACTTTCGAGTGCCTTCATCATTTTAAACTTTACACTTGATCATTCGAGCATTTAATTTTATTGCACATCGTGGATTTATGTATCGATTGATTAGGCAATTGGTTCCTGTCCATAAATTCGAATTTGTTATAGTATCGCTTTACAACTTCATTTTAAATTTTTTATTATTGATGATTATTAATTCTGCTACATTTGAGATGATTGCAAATTGAGATTGTTTGGGAGGATTGAAGTGGTTTGTAGGATGTGGGATGATTTTTAATTTATGAGCCGATTGAAAGTTTTGAGATGTGATAAAAAATTAGAAATTGATGATTTCATGGGTTTTCTCAAATTGAGTAGGATGAACAAAATTTATGTTTGAATTTTTTTTGGCATATGGCGAATGGAATCTTGAACATCTTTCTGATTTATTAGAATTCTGACTCATGAATCAAAAGTAAGATATAAAATTGACTTTTAGGAAGCAAATAGGTTGATTTAAAATAATTTTCTCATCCTAATTCCATTGGTATCTTATAATTTAAGATGAACTTAGTTCCAAAACACTTTAAGTTGACATCGAAAAGTTCCGAAATCACACAATTCTTAAATGACAATGATCACAAATCCACCAAAAAGTGGTGTTAATTCCTTAAACTTCAAATTTAAACTGATAACATTTTCTTCTCCAAAAAAGAATCACATGTTGCATACTAGTCATCCACAGAAACAAATCAACATAGTATTCGTGCCTTAAAAAATTTCATAAAATAAAGTTCATTATTTTCTGTTCCAATTTCCATCCATTCCATCTTAACCTACCCTAACACACAATACACCAACAATCATCTTATTGCATTTCCTACACAATTCTACACCAACACAAGGTCGGATGATTATGGAACAGTTGGAATCCCTCCTCATACACAAATTTTTTGTCAGTTCTATCTTGAACGTTGCTGATTTCAGACGTTAATTCTAAATGCTGTGCGGGTGATAGAAAATTTATCAAAATAAAATAAATTGAATGTGAAAAGTGATTGAAGAAGCATTTAGATACGAGAAAGCACAATAAATCGTCTTTTGTTGAATATTTTAATTTCCTGTGAGAATATACATAAATAATATAATGAATTTGTGATAATAAGAAAACAAGAAAAGGCAGCAAAAAAATTCATTTTTGCCGACAAAATAAATCTTTTTTTTTTGTATTTTATTTTGTAAAGAAGTGGAATAAGAATTAATTTAATTCAATTGAATAATTATAACTGTGTACTGTGCTGTTTATAAACGATATATATAATTTTTTGGAAGCTAGTATAAAATGGCAAGTGAACCGATTCATATAGCAAGTGACCATCATATGGATTACCAAATGATTGCTCATCTAGTTAATGGATTAAGGAGAGAGCAAAAGTCTCTTGCTCCATTTAATTCAAGACTGAGTATGCACACGGAATTGAGGACCTTAACATTTTGGAGGTGGGTTGAAACGAGACAGAAATAGTCATAAATCATGAATGCTAGAAGATTTGCTCTTATGCAAAATTCTTCGTATTTTTGTGGCAAGTAAAAAAAAAGTGATTAATTTATCTTCTTTACGTACAGGGCTATAATATCTGAATGTATGGCATCATTCTTATACGTATTTATCGTATGTGGAGCGGCTGCAGGAGCAGGAATAGGCGCCTCTGTTTCATCCGTTTTACTTACAACATCTCTAGCCTCGGGTCTTGCTATTGCTGTTCTTACGCATTGCTTCCTTCATGTATCAGGTAAAAAATTTAGCGACTTAATTTTTGGTCCTTTTTTTTCTTTGGAAAATCCATTAATGACATACATATGCTAGGGATTATGTTTATGATTTAGCCTCATAAAAATATTTTTTGGAACAAAAAAAAGTAATTCTTAAAATAAATTTCATCCTTCTTTATAGGCGCTCATATAAATCCTGCTGTGACTTTGGCATGTTTTGTGACTCGACTCATTTCCCCACTCCGGATGACAATGTATATTGCTGCCCAACTCGGCGGTGGTATTGCTGGTGCAGCTTTGCTTTATGGGTAAGTTTATGACATGATTTTTATTTTGTGGATGAAATGCAAGCGCAGAAAAAAATTGGATTAAATTCAGAGGAAGTGAAAACCATAAAAAGAGAGAGTCGGGATGACTTTAAAAAATTAAATTCAAGCAAAAAAAAATCTTGACCATTATTAAGGACGAAAATATGACTAAGCAACATGCTATGCTGAAATCACGACAGTAATCATTCAAAATTATCCCTCCAGCATAGCTGTACATGACGAGATGTATTGAAATGAAAATAAATTGTCAAAAAAATGCCGCTAAGTAGCATACATAATGCCTCTATTTCTAAGAAGCACTTAAAGCTGAAAATATTTCAAGCTCAGTGGATTTCGCAATAATCAAATTAGACCAAAAATATTATGGCTTGAAGAAAATTACTTCTGCTCTAATGCCTCTAGAATGTACATTGTCAAGTCTCATTTTTAATGATTTAGAAAATTAAAATCATATTAAAAATGTATTCAAGGGAAATCATAAATTGTTGATCTGGATTCGTCGTAAAAGAAGCCATATGTTGCTTCTAAAAACATCATAATAATTTTTTTTATCCATGCTACGGATGAAGATTTGAAAAAGCAATACAAGCCATGAAAAGAACCAATACAAGGATGTTAAAAGAAAAGAATTTTTTACGTATTCAACAGCATGCTGAAAAAAAAATCCAAAAAAACACACCAACGAAAAAGGGCAGGTGGTTCCAACAAAAAATCGTTTCTTTAAGTTTTTTTACGATTTTCAATCTGTCATGCTTAAAGGAACTCAAAAATATATTATTGACTTAAAATTTTAATCCTCAACTGATTCATGCTGTATAAAGATCATGATCCTCATTTTCTCACATTTTAAAATATTTTTCTGTAATTAAAATTTGTTTAAAAACTTTTTATTTAATCAAGTCATTAACGCTGCTGATGCATTTAAGGCATTTCCATCTTCATGTGTACTCAAATAATTTTCATGATTGACTCGATGTCTGTTTGTGATACATTTGAGCCACTTTTGTGTTTATTTTCCTTCAATTCTTTTTATTAGAAACAGAATGAATGACTTGATACCGCAGCTACAGAAATAAACATTTCTGAGCATTCTCAGGCATTGAAGGGAGAACAAAAATCTTCCCACGTTTCATGAATAAGATAAGGAACAGAATCTGTAGGTCAGAATGTGCATAATAAGTAGAAGAATTTCAGTTAATCCAAACAAAAAGCAGCTTAAGAATCACCCTAATGTCTTAAAGTTTTCCAAATAAGAAATCAATTAGCATCGCATGACAAAGAAGGGGAGATTGGAATTGCAAATATTTGCAGTTCTTTAGAATCGATTAGAATCGGATCTCAAAATAAGAAAAATTAAGTCTTTGACTTATAACCGGTCTTAAATCATACAATAAATGTACAGAAATCAGAACAAGGAACCCTCATGATTCAAGACAGCAACAAGATGTCAGAAATTACTTTTTATGGGTCACAAAAAATCGATTCCAAAACCACAACAAGATTGTATTTTGTGGCTTCTTAATTTTTGGTATGAAATGTTTATAGCCGCGACAGACGACAGTCATTCAAGTTGATAAGAATGGAAACGATAATGAGCATTGCATTTTTTATTTATTTTTTCCACATCCCATCATCATTAATCATTGGACATAACCACCAAGTTGTCTTTAAAGGAACTGATTGCAAATTAGCATCCACGAGAGGCAATTCAAAGTTAATGTTGAGGATGCAGCAATTTAATATGGAAATGAAATCACCGGACATGAGAGCAAGATTCTTTGCAGCTTCTGTGCCTTCATGCTTCTTATGTTATTCTAAATTGAAGAATATTTTTGAATTTTAATGAATTTGTAAAAGAACAGGAAGTTGCAAAACATTCAGCATTCACCTTCTTCCAGGTGTTTTCTTCTTCATCTTCTTCTTCTCCTTATTATTTTCATTTCATCATATTCTATTCTATTTTCGTGTCTGCATAAATATGAATATAAGAAGCTATGCACAGTAAGCACAGCAATAAGAAGGAATATCAATGAATATTCATCATGAACTGATTCTTTATTTGTGCATGAATACATTCTGAAATAATATTTGATAAGTTTCAATCCAGTCTGTAGACATCGTCGTCGTCTTATCGCCACTTATAAGTATAAAATTCCACAAATATGAACAATTTCATCGAAGAGTAAACATTTGCACGTGTCTGTTGATTCCGATTCTTGATATTAAGAATGAAATTTGTGAATCATCAGAAATGGAACTTAAGATAGATTCTTATCAACAGTAATAGCAACTTAATTTCCAAAATTTTTAATTACAATGACAACTTCTTCTTTATCTTTATTTGGAGATGTAATTTGATAGTCATCACATATGTGTGGCAACAGCCATGACAAATAAAAATAAAAAGAAGAGAATTTTGACATAAAAAACAGAAGAGACAAAAACAAGGAAGGGAAAGTCTCAATTTACCACTCGAGAAATTAAATAATGATGGAACAAGATCGTCCTAGGCACACACACAAGAATATCCTTTTCACTCAACACGACTTAAAGGAACAGAAACAAAACAAAATAGAAAATTTGAATTTCTTAAAAAATGTCTACAGCTGCATTTTATCATTTGAACTGGATCTGCACAGACAATTTTATGTTCATGCTTTTTTTGACATTAAAAATTATTTTTTAAAGTCTCGAGTAACACTGATAAGAGCTCATAAATAAACAAATATTATATTTTGTGTGCTCATCTTTTACTTCCAATAATAAATCAATCGAAGTGCAATATGCCTTTAAAACTTTAAAATAAATAAAAAATTTAAAATGAAGTTGTAAAGCGATCCTATAACAAATTCGAATTTATGGACAGGAACCAATTGCCTAATCAATCGATACATAAATCCACGATGTGCAATAAAATTAAATGCTCGAATGATCAAGTGTAAAGTTTAAAATGATGAAGGCACTCGAAAGTCACAAAAAAATATAAACAAATGTTTTTGAAAGGAACTCAATCAGTGGATGGATAAAAAAGTTGAGAGGACATTATGGCAGAAATCATTTTTTGCTGTGCAGTGGATATAAAAAAATATTTGAGATAATTTCAAACCCACTCGTAAAAATTAAGTTGCACCCCTCAGTACATAGCATGTAATAACAGTTTATGTGACCGCAATCGACACTGCATCTATGTTCATTTTATGTGGTTTTAAAATATCGCACATCGAGTTACGAGTTATTGTGTCTAGATTCAGAGGGGAGAGATAGTTCAGTAACAATCAGATTAAGGATCAGTTTACAATTTTAAAACTGTTTAAATTTCAATTACAAACAACTTTATGCATAAATGTAAGCAAGCAAGAGGGTTTTGTTGATCCAATGCAAGATTATCAGATTAGACATTGAACACTTGTTTACAACATCCAGCATACCTCAGTCTCTTGTGGTTTTCACTTCATCATGATATTCATGGGAAAGATTCTTAAATAATATTTTGTTTAATTTTAATTCTTTCAGAGTTTCACTTCCTGGATATCAAGGAAATCTCCAAGCTGCAATTTCACATTCATCTGCGGTCTCATCATGGGAACGATTTGGAGTCGAGATGATTCTTACATTCGTGGTTGTCTTTACATATTTTGTGTCAACAAATTCGCAACGAAAATTATTTAACAACTCAGCAGCAATGATTGGAGCTGCATATTCAGCATGTAACTTTGTTTCGGTAAGTTTTTTTGTGTGTTTTTGAATTGCACAAATGAGAACAGCATTGAGTAGAAATTCAGGTAGAAAATTTTTCATGTTCAACATCTCGAAAAGATGAGGAGCAGAAGTGCAAGAACATGAAGAATGAAGCTTCCTTGAAACAATTTTTGTACCATTTTGAGCATGGCGAAAAAAATAAATAAAGAATGAAATTGAAAAGGAAAAGATTAAAAAGAATAAGATGAGGGAGATGCTGAGCATAAAAGAAGAAGAATTCTTTGTCCTTTGTTCCATGTCCTTTTCAATTTCTTATTCCTTTATTTACTTTTTCACCAGAAACCTTTTCAATTCTCTGTCATATTTTTATATCAAACATAACTAATGTATATCATCAATTTTTCTTATGTCATTTACAGATGCCTTACTTGAATCCCGCGCGCTCACTTGGTCCATCATTTGTTCTCAACAAATGGGAGAATCATTGGATTTTCTGGATGGGACCAATGGCTGGAGGTGCAATTTCTGGTATTTTATATGAAATTATCTTCAACTCTAAGAAACGTCGTCTTCATGGCAAGGATTCGGAAGAATCTTCGAGCATGAATTCAGAAGATGACATCAATTATGACTTAGATATAGAGAAGGCTAATGCAATTCAACCTAAATTCCATGATGGAAATTTCAACACATATCGTAGTGCTCAAGGAAATGGACAAAAGCAAATGCTTCAACAGAACATGTGTCAAACAATGTATCAATCGAAAGTCGAACGTGAACCAATTTATGGAGGAACCAGATCACTTTACTGCCGTTCACCTCCTCTGACACGTGCCAATCTTCATCGCTCACAATCAGTTTACACAAAAAGTAATGTTGCAATAAATCGCGAGAGTTCAGGGGTTATTCGTGCCGGTCCATTAGTTCCAGCTCAATCACTTTATCCATTACGTGTGGCACCAACAAGTCAACAAAATACACATTTACAAAATCAAAACGTACAAAATCAATTGCAACAACGTTCAGAGAGTATTTATGGAATCCGTAGCTCAATGCGTCAATCAACAAACACAGAAAGGACAATGACTGAACGAATCCCAGAAAGAGATCGTGAACCAGCTGCATTTCAGCCAATTTATGGCGCACGAAATAATCCAACACCAAATGACACACTAAATTATGAGTCACGCGAAGAACCCGTAAAATATGGTAGACGACCTGATTCCGTCTATGGAATGTCAAATAGACGAATTCAGTCAGCACAATCAGATGATAGCTCATATGGATCATATCATGGCTCATCACTCACACCACCGACACGACAGTCATCACAGAATGGAAACTTTCATCCAAATGGGCAAATGATGAATCAGCAACAAACATACGGAATGCTTCCAATCCCCAACCCTCCTCAACATCATTCAAATCCAAATCAGCAAAATCATCATCATCATCCCGCCCAACAACAAAAGCAACAACAACAGCAGCAAGCAGCAAATCAAAATGAGCGGAAATTATCAACTTCGACAAACTCATCAACACAGCTACAAAGAAGCGTAGAATTTTCTGATTATAGTCAAAAAATAACGCCTGGAAGCGGACATCAAACTCCCCTTCCACCACCCCCACTGCCAAATCATCAGAGTCATCCACAGTCGACACAACAACAACAACAACAGAACTACCAAATGCATCCAATAAGACAAAATTAATTTACTTGTCGTACATGCTTGTTAATTGAGATTTATTGGAAGTGGGATTGTGATTTTTGATGGAATGGGATGAGTGATTTGGACATATGCTGTGACATGAAGTGTGATTATGAATTGTCGATCAAAATTGTCAGAGTTAAAGTCAAAAAGTATTAGAAGTTCCAACAAAAATGCACCCCAGATACCCAAAACAATCTCAGAGTCTATACAAATTTTATCGAGGTTAATTCAGGGCTGTTGATATTTCACATAAACTTATCCTCTTTAGTATCAATACATTCAGCATATAACATACTCTTAATCTAATAAAATAGTAAATTTATAGCACCAATCCCTCTCAATCTCATTCCCATTGCATATAAATGCCGATTAAAATTGATGAGCAATTTTTACAATTCACTGACTGACTGAATACAGAAGAAATAAGTTATATATATTATGCTGTATAAATAAATTAAATTAGATAGGAAATAATTAATTGTAAGAAATTTTTATGTAGATAGAAATTCAATCGATTGTAATAATGTTGAAAAAATATGAAGAAGCATAAAATGGGCTAATTTATTTGCATAGGAGATATTATGCTTGTTTATGGATTCTTTTAAGGGATATTTTGTTGGAATTTTATTTCAAATTGGTTTAACAGTTACTGCCGAAGGATAACTTGAGACTTTTAAAGGGACTGAATTTTAAGATTTTGATTTAATTGAGTCCCGAGTAGTTCAAATGTTGTTCGCATAGCAGGCTAATTGGAACCAAGCGACAGTCAAAAGACAATCCATAGTTGAGTAACTTCTGCTTCTGGATGATCTAGCTAACGATTCTGTAGCTTTCTTGTTGATTTTGCACGAGACTTACCAACATGACCAGCTATTGCTGTCCTGTGAGCATCATTAGAACAAAATTGTCACTTGGCCTCACTTGGATGCCAAAGAAAATTGATTGATTCAATAAATCTTCAATTTGTAGCTATGTGCTGCTCGGAATATGGTCACAGACTTGCATAAAGTCAACAATAACCACAAAAATCTCGAAATTCAATCAACCTACATCAAGAAATTCTAACAAAACAAACCCAAAAAAGACCAAACAGCTTTGTCTACAAGAAAAAAAAAAGCAAAAATTTACTGTACAAAAAATAATGTAAAGTCTTTAGTTTGTACCTAAAATAATACCCAAACAGTATTTGCACAAATATTGAATATACATTAATTTTCTTAGAGTCTATATCCATTGTGTGTATATACATTCATTTTTAATTTTTAAGGAGAAATTTGTTTCGAGAATTAAAATGAAAAATAATAAAAATTGAAAAAAAGTTTTACCTTCAAACGAAAGCAAGTTCTTGTTTCTATTCACATTTTCAGCTATTGCTATTGCCTTTTTGGATTGATAAAAAATTTATGAAAAATGAGGGTTTATTGTGCCAAATTTTTCATTTCTCTGCTTTGTGTACCTTTTTTTCTGGTTGTTCTATTTTTATTCTATATTGCATGTATAAATTTTATGTATGGAAGGGGATGGTCCGTCAATGATGTCTATTTTACAATCTGATTTTTAGACCCCCTCTAACACAATTATCTCAAAATTGCCATTAAAATAGTATTAAAGTATCGCAAAATCTCTTCTCATAAATGGCATACATCATTAATGAATATCCCACAAGAAAAAGTTAATGTACAGATTCAGGCTCAGATACTTCATAAAAAGAATTCACTTCTCTTGATTTATACGATAAAATTTGAACCTTGCTGAGTTTAATCCTCAACATTCGTTCTGGATTCTTTTGTGAACTTTATTTCGTTTAGAATTGGCATTGCTGCATATTTACATGGAAATTGAGCACAAAAAGAATTGCAATTCATCCCCGCAGGCACTCACAATGTGATTTGTTTGAAAATTTAATCATTTTTGATTCAATTTGTCTCGACGCCTTTGTTCAGTTCCTGTTACATCATAACACCTACAGAATAGAGCGTCCAGCTTTCCAAACGTTTTGTTTTTATATCAAATATTAATGCTGAATAGCTTCATCCCTCAAATATTACGTCCATTCAGCACATTCATCATAGAGATTGTTATCCAAAATTCATATGCGATAACATGAATTGTAAAAGGTTTTTTTTGTTATGTGTTGGCTGTGGATTGCTCCTTTTATATTCAGCACAATACTTATGCTTGAATTCATCAGAATTTTTTTGCGTAGAACTTTTACTTCATAAAGAATTCATGAATTTGGTCAAGAAACTAAGAATAACTTTTACATAAGGGGCTGTTCACTTATTACGTAACGCGAAAAAATGAGTTTTTAGACCCCCCCCCCCTCGAAACAAAATTTGTATGAAAAAAAATTTCCTTGTTTGAACCGTAACAAAATCTTAGACCCCCCCCTCCCCCTAAAAGCGTTACGTAATAAGTGAATGGCCCCTAAGGTTTTCAAATGTTTATTCTATGCTGATACAAGCTTTCATTTGTGGAAAATTAATGATAATTGAATCAGGATTGAGCCCTGAAAGGATTTCGCTTGTCCATTTTGATATAATAATTGTTGGTAGAAAATATGAGCAGAAGATGCCTAATTATTACAGATATTAATTATTCAGTATGATGACATGACATTATCGTTGGCAACAAGGATGTTTATTTTGTTTTGCAGTCATCGTCTTTTTCTGCTTGAAGTAAATTGCTAAAGGAAGGACGTTCCAAATTTATTTCACTTTCATATCATTCAGAAAATTAGGAATTTAATTGGAATGGACATTAAAGTATCATTATAATGGATGATGATTTGATTGGAATCTTTAGAACCATTGCTTGTCATGATTTAATATCACTTCCTTTATTCATCCTTAATGAAAAGGAACAGGACATAATCATGTTCATTTGAAATGTTTTTGTTACTTTAACGCCCAAAATCTTGGATGCAAGCCAATTATAAAACTATCAAGAGCTAGGATTTTTACGATAACGACTGAATTCACATTATGTTCAGGATTTCTTTACCGAATTCAAAGACTTTCGTTGCCAACTGCATTACTGCATGTTATTCTTTTGTTTTATAAGACTTTTATGATTTCAATTTCCATTGTTCCTTGTCGTTCTCTTCTTAAAATCAATTTCAAGCATGAAATATCACAGGATTGTTGTTCCAACAACTATTGTCATTATAGATTCTCACAAATTGAAAAAGTTCCAATTTTTAAAAGACATTTTGGTGTTAAGTTAAATGATAGGATGGCAAAAAGGCAGCAGAAATATTTTGACACGCCACATCCAGTAAATAATATCTGTAATTTTATTAATTGGAGTTCTAAATTCCTAACTAGAGGCAAAATACTTTCAGAAAATGATTCAAAATTACAGCAACATTTAGCCACAAAATACAAAAGAACAAAGTTATTAAAATGGAATCAAGAAGAAGTCTCAGAAATGATCGCAATCACATTCCATTGTAAGCAGGTGCAATTCATTCTTGTTTCATCTTTACTTCTTCTCTTTTGTCTTGTCTTCCTTCTTTCCATCACTAAAAGATTTGTGCAACAAAAAAATGCGCTAAATTCGGATCATTAGAATGAGGTCAATAAATTCTTGTCAGGAAATTAGCCACTGATTGTTTGTATTTTCCATTCCATTCCATTCAACCCTAACTTTTGCACTTTATGTTAAGTGCACGCGCATCTCTTTCAATGAACTGCTTTATTTCCCTAATATTTTTATTAGCATTGTATTGTTAAATAATGCAGCATAAGCGAGGGCAATAAATAAAAAAAATACATTTTTTGCCCTATTTTTTTGAGGATGAGATGCACGGGAAATTTATTTTGATGATTTTTGTTCCTTTCTTATCAACAAATGTTCAACTTTTTATTAGCATTTTGAGCTACAGTTAATTGAGAAGGATGCGGCATCATCATTTTTGGAAGCGAATAAAAAATGAGGAAATGATTTAAAAAAAAAAACTTTTATGATCGAAATGAAAAGAAAATGAGAAAAAATTAAGGTAAGACAGCATCAAAAGCAGCTGCTTCATGCCTTAAAATCCTGTTTTATTTATCAAAAAAATTAAGAAAAATCCACGTGAGTGGCTGTAAGTTGAACAAGCTTTAAAATGATAAAAGTCGATGCAGGTACCAGCACAGACATTAAATTTCTTATGCCTTATGTTTAAGTTTGAGTTGATCACGTTCCGATAGACAATTTTGATGTTTTATTGTGAGTTACATTAGGTCGTGATTAATTATGCATTAGATATTCTCAAGTCTGTTTTTGTGTCATTTCCATTAAAAAATGAAGTTCTGTTCTTTAAATCCTTTCGACATGTTCATTGAAATTTCCTGCGTGGCAAAGCATGGCTTCATAGAAATTCATCAAAAGACAGGAAATTGTCAGAATCTTATTTTAACCAGTCACGAGTTTATGTCTCACTAGAACTACGGAAATTTCTTTCAAATTTCTCTCAATGCACGCAGTATTTCCATATGTAGTCACAGAACATCTTGCCTTTATTGTCATTTCCATATGCGCGATTAATTAATTATTTTTTTTTTGGGAATGTCAAAAAATCTGCGATAAATATTTTTGTGGCTATAAATGAATCAGATCTGATTTATTCCAATTGCGGTATGGGTTCAAAAAAACTAAGCAGCATAGACAATTGTATCAGATTTTTACCCTCATTTTTTTAGAGATATAAAAATGCGAGACATAAATTTCGAGTTAACGAGATGCAGGAACTAAACTAACTTATATAAATGCCAAAATAATTATTATTATTTTTAAGGGTTGAATCATGTTCAAGTGGAAAATTCTTTTTGTGGCTTACACAGAAATCTGTCGGGAATTCTACTTGCTCAATAAATACAAAACAAATAAATTGAATTAAATATGATTTTTATATTGCGACATTTGCATAACAACTTTAAATCCAAATAAAGTTCAGATGAGCACTCATAATTAAGTGCCGAGATATTCATGTGAAAATTTGTGAAGGGTTCAAAGGATTAACAGCCAACTATCGATAACAATCCACTTGAATTTGCTTATTTAATGCACTGCACTTCTGTTTTGATCTTCCTTTCCCTCAACTTTTTTATTGCTGACATATTTTTGTGGCTGAAAAAAATTTCGTTTCATTTGTTGATTTTTGGCTTAACAAATGAGAGATTTGTTCTCGGATAAAACAGGAACAATGGACTTTGTAATGATTTGCATAAAAGATTCCATGGACATCGATTGATTGACAAAAAAGAGAGAAGTTTGAGTGATTTATTGACAACTTTTTCAGCTGTTCGATTTCCTTTGCTGATTTGCATTTTTTGCAGACTATTCACGATCATCGACCATTTGTGGCTGAATACATGACAAATTTCACCCTTCCATTGACTATTCTAATGCCACACACGAGAACAATTAATTTTCCGTGTGCTGTAAACTTTAAAATTTTCTCATTGTCATCAATCAAAAGAGTTTGTGAGGACATTAATAGCTACAGACATGAAATTATTTAAAGTTCATCAAGTGAATATGAAACAAGTGAAAAATTCGCATGAAAGGAATCAAAATTAGTTCCAACATTAAAGAATTTACACAATGTTACGCAGCATTAATCGTTGGACAATTGTTCAATCTTTTTTTACTGTCACTGCTCACAAATACAATCAAAGACAATGAAATAAAAAGGGTTGAGGAAGATGACATGAAAAATTGGAAGAGATGAATGCTACAAATGTGTGAATGAGGTCAAAGAGATTTGTAGCTTAAAATTATAAAGTTAATCAACATGACAAAATGCAGCTGGAGTTCATTTTTTATTGTGTCATATTGCTTAGTTCATTAAACTTCTTGAAGCTGAGATACTTGATCAATATTCAGTAC